CCCCCGCGCACACACATTCCCTTCTCCCATATCTCCCTTTTCCCCTCGCGCCGTGCATGCATTGATGCATGGACAGAGACGTCTAAATCGGACTTTGTTTTGCCAATGCTCGAGAATTGTACCTACACAAGTCAGGTACACCTGATCCAGATGTGCTTAAAAGGTCACCGAAAGCCAGACAGGACAATATCGCTCGCAGTAGCCAGAGCCGGAGGGAGCGGAGAGCACCATTGAAAGGAGGACGTCGTTAGACTGCAGCCCCCGCCTTGCCCCCCCCCTCCTTTTTTCTTTCGCCGGGGAAGCGAAAACACTCACGGCGCAGTTTGGAGGACTATCACACCTCCGCGAGCGGTGCACCTTTGTGTGGCCAGGAGAACTCTCACGGCGGGAAGAGACTTCGACGCGCGGCCAACGAGCCGAGCGGAGCCGAGACCCATTCGGGACACTATGAAAAGTCTACAAAGCATTGCTTAGGATTATATGTGACGTTCTAAGCTGCGAAGAAAAACAGCGAAGCATCGCATGGAAAATAAACTAATTTCATAGCTTACAAAGCACTGCTTCGTAATACGAAGCACACTTCTTTGTAAGTTCGACAAAGCCAGAAGTTTAAAAGAAGGAAAGAAACACATAGCGTTTGGTTGTTAGAAAAATTTGATTTGAAACTATGTATTAAGCCTTCTCCTTTAACAAAATGTTGTTTACGCGTAGCTTCGAACGCCATTGCGATTTAAGAAGATGCACAAATCGTAACACCCAGAAAATCGTCTCCTTGAAAAACATAATGACATCTTGTTTTGAAAGAATTTTACCCTTGGTTAACGACAAGAACTCTGAGAGTCAAAGATTTCTCTTCTTTAGACTGAGGCGATTTTTTCCTTAAAGAAAAGAAAACGTCTTCGTCATTTTGGGAAAATTTTCTTGATTCAAGCCCATTATAAAGAAAATTCCTCGTTTCAAGTGAACGATTTTCTGGGTGCAATAAGAGAACTTGCTATGTCAATTTTCCGTCGAAAAAATTGGGTCTTTTTGTGGGCCGCGTCAGTGTGTACCATTGGACATTACAATCGTGATGAAGTCGCTCAACGATGCGCCCAGGAAGGCGTTGAAACCCTCGGCACCCCAGCCGAAAGTCCAAGCAGCCGTGCTCACCTGTCTTAAGGGCGGCCTGCTTGAGGCTCGAGGCCGTTGCACAACCCCCAGCTTTTATACGGCGCGGCCTGACTGGCGGAGCTAAGTATATGTTGCGTTTCGCCTTCGCCGTTCCCGTTGAATGAACGTGAATTTTTCCCCTCGGCGAAGCAGCAGTCAGATTGTATAGAAAATTGGCAACAGCGCGCCCGCGGTGGGTGTATGCAGGTTCGCAATTGAAATCGGCAGAGCCTGCGATCCCGCCAAATAATTAACCTTTTTAAAGGTCACCTTGTTTGCACCCGGTTTCCTTACAACGTTTTTTTTATTTTTCGCGAACAGAATCGACTTTGGCTCCCGTCAGTATTGGCTTCACCCCTAACCTCGCTTGCCACCAGATGGCACCTCCACCTGCTGCTTCAGAGTCTCAGGTCAGGCTGGCGAAGCCCTCCCGGTGCACTGCTCGGCACCGCACAGCTCATTCGGGGCATGTCTATCACCCCCACTCTGTCGCTCTACAAGACGCTACCGCTCCCCTTCTCTCTCCCTCACTAAGAAACAGCCCCTATCCCAATCACTCCCTATCTCACTCTAAGCAGACACTACCACTACCGCTCCCCTTCTATCCCCCACACCACACGGTAAAAACAATGTCTCATATTTTGAGGAGAAAGGGAAGACTTTGAGAGACTCCCATGTTTGAGGGAGAGTCCTCCGATCTCCCCTCAGATTTTGAGGAATCTTCTCAAAAAACGAGGAAAACTCCCAGGTTTTGGAGGAGACTTCCTCAAAATCTGATGAGTTTTCGTCAAACCAGGGGAGTTCCTCAAAGTTCTCCCTTTTCCCTCAAAAAATGAGACATTGTTTTTACCGTGTAAGAAACAGCCCCTATCCCAATCACTCCCTATCTCACTCTTAGAAACAGCCGCCTCTATCTCTTCCTCTCTATCGCTCCCAAGAAAAGGGATGTATGCGCCGGTGACAACAACATTGTCCATGGCCATTGTAGCCAGCGTGTCGCGACATGTCGAAGGTTGTCCGC